TTCCTCCCCCTCATTCATATAATCTTTGAATTGTAAATTATTAAAATACGCCATTGTGCGTTTACATCCCAAATATTTGCACTCCTTTTGCATTCTCGCAGTATGCCACTTGTAAAACAAATTTGTGGCTCCAAGTGCACCTGTCGCTCAGTTTCGAAAACTCTTAAGCAGTTCCTAAGTGTTGGCACGCTTCACTCTGTTTCCAAACGACTCCTGCTTCGGATTCGAAGAAATACGAAAGTTCTGCTCAAATGGGGTCATCTCAAGTCAGGCGGATCCTTAACCAACTGGTTTGTCGCGTCATGTCGCAGAAATTTCATTGGGAGTTATGAAAACACCATGTTTGAGCGAAAAAAAACTTGCGCCTCCGCTAATCGATTGCAAAGTACTGTGATTCATCGACTTGTCGACATCGGGTTTTTTTTTCTTTCTGACGCAAGGAACTAAAAGTTCTCAGTGGCATTTCTCTTATACACTGTGACATGCTGTTTACGACGATTAACCATATTGTAGGGGTTAGAGGTATCCATTCACTCTGGTTTTCTGATTGTCACGCTGATGACGGCTCCAGACACCTCGGTAAAACGACCCCCGTAGTAAAGAGCAATGCTTTAGGGCGAGAAGGCAATTTTAAGCGTCATAGTTCCGTCCACGTAAGGCAGTCTTTCATACTTCAAAGACTAATTTCACGCAATTCTTTGTACGGCCAATGGAGGAATAGGAAGATCGTCTGGGACAGAAGAAGGGCAAAAGTAGTCATTCTACAGTCACGGGATTTCTTTCACGTTCTCCTCAACCGTGAAAAAGGGCCGCTTATAGTCAGTGATTATATGATTTTCGGAAGCTTTTGTCCCTTAAACATGGCAAAGGGAAGTCGTCTTGGTCATTCGACCGCGAACCTTTGACAACGTTGCGAACGCTTTTATGTGTCGGCGAGCCAGCCAAAATTGCTGCTTTGCTACTCTTCTCTCTTTGGGATTCTCATTTATCACTTCTCATTCGCAAGTTCGTTAGTTGGTAATTGCCTGAAACTTGCGAAAATTCTTGATTGTGTGTGTCGGCTCGAGAATTTTCAGAGAAAGGCATATTAAAGTCACTTATAATGTGGTTTCTCTGTGAAGCTTTTCAGGTCTACAAAACGCTCCCAGTTTTTCTCCTGTATAGTAAATGTTAGTGCGTAGGCAACAATTTTATCGGAGACACGGTTGAGCCCCATCCTCTCAACCGCTAACTTCGGATCCGTACTAGTCGACGTTCATGGCCAATTGTGTGTCGACGGGGACATTATGTTAATGCACGTCCCAAGGAACAGCTTTTCTCCATTCCCAGAAACGCCGTGCAGCGAGTGGTGCCTTCCCTTTTCGGTTAGTCTGATGACGTTGTACTTGATCTTCCTGGATTGCATAGTCAAGTCTTAGAATCCGCTTTGAATGCAAACTTTCTTTCTAGATCCTGAGATTTTAGCAACATTTCCCGAGCGGTCGTACTCAGCGCTGTCGGTTCCCTTGGGTTCAGGGAAAGGGAGCTCATTTATGTTAGTTTTTGGCACGCGCTTTATCCTCTGCTATCTCGTCAGCCTTTGATGTAGGGGCTAGGTGCACTCTGAATGGTTAGCCAACAGGGACGATGGGCTTGTTTTTCAGAGGCGGACCCGAACCGCTTCTCAAGTACTTCCTAGTCATTGAAGGCTTTAGCTGAGACAATGTGCAGAACACAAACCCAGACCCCTCACATACGGGTGTGTGTCAAGTCGCGCGTCCGAGGGTGCGCGCGGCAAATTGCGCGGCGAAGTTCGTGGCGAATCTGGACGACTCCGGCGCCTATCATTGGGGCTCAAATCTGAGGTAAGGGAGATCAGTAAGGTCTGAGCTTATCCTACTATACTACTGTACTTCGAAATTGGGCCCAAATAATAGGCGCTAAAGTCGTCAGAATAGCTATGGGTTTCGCCGCGCATTTTGCCGCGCGCACCCTCGGACGCACGACTTGACCTTCCCCCCTCACATGCCTATGCTAGATACACCTAAGAGGAAACAAGTGTAAATCCACCTAACACCGCGGAAACAGGGAGTCCTTCCCCTGAAACGATCCGCAGTTGGAACTTTTAAACGATTGAGTTCACTTCGCACTTCTGTGCGAGGCAATCCTAATTAGGTGTGAAAACTACCTGGTCATTATGCTGCCCATAACGTTAGTCGGACAATGAAAGGTTCATAGCTCAAGAGGGTCATAATACAAGAATCGTCTAGATTTTTTTGAATGAGAACAATTTCTAGAGTTTTATCAGTGAGAAATTTCGTAATCACCAGTAGTAATAGTTAGTAGTGATATTTCACATTTTGATAGTTACTTTCCTCTTCAATGGTTTGGTTGCTTGTGGTTTTCAGCCATGTAATTTACTGCAATTATAGCTTACTCGAAAGCCGAAGCTACTGCCGTGCTCTCATTCAGTTTGCCTCTCATGTTTGGAACAGTTGGCTGCGTTGCCTCAGGTAATCAAAAAGTACTTTTATAATGTTGATGGAGTTGCAGTCTGCATTCATTTTTGATACTCATCATGGGAAATAGATTTAAACATTTCGCTTTGTACTTTTGTTTTCATGTATTTTTTGAGGGTCAAATGAGCACCGAATTTAACTCCTCCAGGTGTTTTGCCCACTATTCTAATCTTGCATCATCCTTTCTGTAGTAGTGCTTGGTCAATGTAAGAAATTTGTTGAATCATTATACTCATTAGAGGAAGATGGCTCGTGCATTTCTAACTCGAAACTCTTTATGACGAAAGGGTGATTTGAAGGGCCGCTCACTCTTTTGTGGGATGTTAGAAATTGGTAAGAAAGTTCTGCGACCTGGGATGTAATAAATTACAAGGAAGTTCTGCGAACAGAACATTGAACATTGAGCAACACAAGAATATCCTTTTGTTTTGCTTTTTGGATTTCCCAACTACTAGAAATATTTCCATGGGCGTGAAAGTTCAGAGTAGTGCAAAAAGGCAAAGGAAACCCAAAAATAGGCTTCAAAAAAGCAAAATTAAGGGTTGGGTGAGAACGTGACGAGAAGGTTGGATGGGACGGGTATTCGGACGAACTGTTCTAATGCAAGTGTCATTGCTTGCAGCTGACTGCAGTAAGCTGCCTGCAGCAGCATGTGCAACACGGTAAGAATGCTGCAACTTCTACAGCCTCTGAAGCGTCGAGAGGACTCCACTTTGGGTGTGAACTTCGGCCACGCCGGTTTGGAGATCCTTATTACGTTATATTTAAGTCATTTTCGGAAACGACAGCTGTGCTATCCTTGAGAGTCGCTGGTTCAACCTAGAAGAAATCTCAGCAACCATTATCGTGGTGAACAGTGCATTTGAGTATCGAGCGCCTAATGGGTTCTGATGGCATATCAGATCAGCGTCAAGATGCGGTCTAAGTGTACGAGTTAGATTTTTTGTTAGTAAGGGAAACGAAATTTTCAGACGGTGTTCATGCTTATACTATTTCTTTTTTCGCTAGACAAGTCTTTTCTTCTTTTTGGAGCAGACTTAGCATCGTTTTGGAGCCGAGTTCGCCGTGCCTTTCCATTTTTTAGTGAGACAACGCATTCATCCGTTTTTTCTCTTGCATTTGAACCAACTCTTGCAAACTTCGTAGGCTCGATTTCACCTCCGTTCTTCCAGTGAATTAGGATTCCCTGGAGTCTAAAACTCTGCGTGCGACTGCGCAGAGCTTGTCAGTGGACTCATGCCGTCTGAACTTATTTCCATACATGCACACTAGGGATGGAACTGTTGAGGAAAACCAATAGGTTCACGTTGATGCTTTCGCTTCGCATCAATACTATGGAACCAGACTTGACCTTTTGCACTTTCATGGCTCCTAAATCAGAATTCTTCATAATGGAGTCTTGGTTTCGATAATAGTATGATTTTTGCAGAACGATGCTCTTTCGCTGCGCTGTCCCATGTGTCGGGAGGTATGCGTATTGCCAGCCGGCGGGGTCCAGGCTCTGCCTGCCGCCTTTCTCATTAATCAACTATTAGATGTGATGCAGGTAAAGTCTTTACGTTCCTTTTGACTTTATTTACAACTTCATCGCTTTCATCCAACAGATCTGATGAGGAACTGTAGGAGAAACGGATACGTGTAGGATGTTCCAATTGCGTAGACGATGAATGCTTTTCGCTTTGAGATGCTGATCATCATACTTCATTCATTCTGACTTATTGTTTCTGTATTGCAATCAAGATAAAGGGAATCCCCCCCCCCCCTCAACTGCGTTTTCACCGGAACTGATTTCATTTTAAATCTTGCTACTTGCTTTTTTTGATATTTCTATGTTCATGTGCGAATGCTGCTCCCAGAGCATTGGGTTGCGACCGAAAGTTTGACTTTCCACGAAACTCGAACCCATCGTTTTATATTGCTTCAATTTGATGATTTAATAAATCAGATCTTGCCGAGTTAGTTAGGGATCAGAGCAGTTCACCTTAGATGTGCCCTTTCGCTTTTAACTGCCCAGGTCCCGCTTTCTTCCTGAAGATGGCTTCAAATGACCTTAAAATTTTGAATCAGCAAAATTATAAGAAAACATCAGTTTCAGATAGTTTTATCATAATAGGTTTAGTTTGAGAGGGTTTTCATAATGAATATGTTGATATCAGACTTATGGTCTGTGAAAGCTCTAACAACCAAGCTATTTTTTCCCGAGTCAGTAGTTGTGTTTGAGTGTACGAAACGTTGGTTTGTACCTCATCACCATGCCTCGAAAGCTGCTGTACAGACCAATTTGGCATTCAGCTGCCACAATTCTTAACTGATGTCGAATGTATGGGTGCTGCCACAATTCTTAATGATGTCGATTGTATTAGTGTACCTCAAAACTGGGATTCATAAATGCAGTAAATTCAATTCGCTCTTAAGCTTGATGAAGGCAGATATGTTACCCTTTATGTTATGTCCACTTTCGAAAGATGTCATTTCCCACGTACCCAGTTCTTTCTTTATATTTTGGAGAGAAAGCTATACTTTCACCGCGCATGTGTATATATCAAGTTGGTTATGAAGCAATAACTTATTTTTTTTTCAGAAACAGCGAAAAGACGTCATTCCGTCTTGCACGGTTCATCCAACGGAACAACTTCTATACTGTGAATGTTGTGACTTAGTGTTCTGCCAACAATGTCAAACTTCGGTGATCAAGTAATTTCCACTAATATTCATTCGACAAAAAGATTCTTTGATTAATGAATTCAGAAATCGCTGCTAGCAACAATATCGCTTGTTTTCAAATAGATAGACCAGCGCACATTCTTTGTTCATTAGCCGCCTCATCACTCGATAGTGTTTTCCTTTGAATCTGTATTGACGATCATAAGGGCAGATGTAAAACATTTGAACTAAAAGAAAAATGGAATTGATCCAACTTGTTGAGCTTCACCGATCTTCTCCAAATTGTTTTTCAGCAAAAAATGCACTCAACACACGGTCATTCCTTTTTCAATCGCGCTGAAACGAATGTCGGAGATCGTGGTTTATCGAGCGAAGGTAATCGCATTGACTTTTCCAGCTTCATTTTCTTCTAATCATTTTTTTCCAAAGTCTAATTTGCTTATCCCTCCATATGTTATAGGTAGTTTTTCAGTATTGACCCTTAGTACGATTAAGCAGACAGGATTGTAGCCTTGAAGACTTGAGGAGGTGCCTTTATCTTGTCGACCAACTTAATCTTTTATGTAGTCGAAAGCCATTTAAACGCTCCTGATGTGTGGTCTGCTGTTGTTGAAGTGTTTTAGATTTCTCCAGTCATTCCCGACTACTACAATCGGAGAATTAGTTCCCTGTGTGATCATTGCACGAGAATATCTGCAAAGGCAGGCTGAAAGTCAAAGGGGCTTTGTCTGAAAAGGGAAGCAAAATCAATCAACAATCCTTTGCCGTACTGCATCGAAAGGCAAACTTGTGACTGTTACCGATCCGTTTCTGAGTTGCTGTCGGTCCGTTCGGAGTGGTTCCGTTACAGGTAGTGAGAAATCCTTGAGCAGTTCCATTAGTTTCTATTAGTTTGACTCAATCTTTCAACAACATTGTGCATTCCTTCCTTTCCTTTTTTACCTTTCAAAAATTTCGATTGGAGCTACAAATATGAAGAGGGAACGGGAGTATGCGAGCGATGTGAGGTGTGAATTGGGGAATAGGAATGATTCCTAGAAGTGGTTTGAGCAAGCTGGTAGGGTTTCCAATTTTCCATATTTTTCTCATATGCGGGATTTCTTACCATGTGATTAGTTTTTCTGCTTCTTGCGATTCTTTTGAAATTGTATTATTTGTGACGGTAAAAGACATTTGATTTTCAATTTANTTTGAGCAAGCTGGCAGGGTTTCCAATTTTCCATATTTTTCTCATATACGGGGTTTCTTACCATGTGATTAGTTTTTCTGCTTCTTGCGATTCTTTTGAAATTGTATTATTTGTGACGGTAAAAGACATTTGATTTTCAATTTAGATCAATATAACATTGTGCGATCTTTAACAATTATTTATCTGGTGAAATGCAAAGTGATATACGAATTGCTCCTTTTTTCTCCATTTCGAGACTATTAAGAAGGCAATTTTTGAGAACTCTCTGCTGAAAGAAATGAAATGCTATTTGAACTGCGAATGGCCTCCTCGCATCATTGTTTTATCGTTTCCGGAAAATTGCTCTCGTTGCTAGTTACTACCGGTTACTACATCAGTTACTACATCCGGTGTTCGCGTTATCTTTTGCAGGGTTTTAATAGCCGATCACTTGTGTGATTTTATGTGGTTCAATGAATTGGAGTTATCAAACCTATTAATAGAGGCGCATATTTTAGGGTCGACTTCGCGCTCTCGATCAAGCGCATGTCTGTGTCAGCCAGGAAATCGAGCAGTTGGACAGAAATGTGGATAAGATTGTCGATCAAATCAACGGAACATTTCAGGTTGTTTATGTCATCTCAGTGGTTCCCATCGGGTATTTTCTACGACAAGTTTTATGGCAAATCGGAAAGCGTGTTCTCTGCTATCACTTGGATGCAGAAGAGCTGTAATCTGTGTGATATCTATGTAGCGGAAGTATAGGATAAGCCGCAGAGTTTTATTTGTCGAATTATCACCGGACGTATCGTGGTATCTCGATAGGGAAGAGTTCTCCTTTCGCAGCCTAAGCATTAGGTGTATTCTAGGCATTGCGACCCTACCAATTTTATACGACATGTAAGCTCGACATTGTTATACTACATAATGTGAACCGCCTACTGCTCATTAAGACCTGAACATCTTCGTGAAGTAGCTGAGTGCCTGTAGAATGCGTTTTGTGCACCACTTCGTATTCATTCTGATGAGGCTTTCATTTCCTTTGCACAAATCTCCGACACAAACTGAGTAGAAATTAGGTGTTGATCGTCGTAGTATCAACTCCACAATTTCCTGCCGCTTTCCATGTCCTCGTAAGCAAGATAGAAGAGGAGTTTACTCTTCAGTTGACGGAGAGCTGAATCATTGGTGGTGTTGATGTATTGCGCAGACTGTATGGACCGAAGTTTCCTAGACACTACTTGTTCTGAAACGTCCTGATATTTTTTATGCCTTTTCAGAAGATTATTTCTCTTTCTCCTTTTGCTGCGAAGTTCCTATTTGGAAGTTCAATTTGATTTTCAGAAACCATCTATAGAAAATCATTGTCTCAGCTCTTCATGTTAATTAATTATTATCATAAGAGAACGGCAAAAGGAGAAGGAGGTGGTGTAGTGTCAAGCGGCGCACTTCACGCGCACGGTCACGAATTCGAATCCCGGATCGATAGCTGCCTAGGCAACCAAACCTTCCATTCCTCCGGGGTCGGTTGACTGGTACCAGCACCAGAGGATGAAAGCATTGTCCTGTACATCGGCTGGCCACCGCGAGACGTTGTATAGGCCACATACGCATTCAATACGCCACTACGATTCTAAATGGAAGTCGAGTGCGTGAGCTTATCTCTCAGACGGGATTGATTAACGCCGCAAATTTTATCCTCATCCTTCATGATGAGAGAACTTCCACCGGCTGCTGGACTTCATGGGGAGCCTTAATGTTTACTGCAAAAAGTCTTTAATATAACGTACCCTTTAGGTGGCGTCTTATTTATTCCCTGAAAAGGAAACGGGTCAACGAAATTAGGGATTATCATATTTCAAAGTCTTGGATCTTCCATCCATCGCTATAAACATTTCCGGGTGTGGTTCAAGAATATGCTTTCTTTCACAGTCACTTTCCACTTTTTCAAAAAACGTGTCTTTGTTCTTTTTCACAACATGTTAGAGAAATAACAAACCATCCTTTCCTTTTTATGTTCCCCCGAAACATTTCATCTTCAATGATCAAAAGGATGCAATCAGAGGCATGGAGGAGTGGTGCAACTTCTTCTTTTTCCATTCGGCCCTGAAACTATATATTCTTTATTTCTGACTTTTTCTCTCTTACTAACTTCAGACTAACTTCAAAGTACCTGAAAACTGGTTCCGGTATGGTAAGCCGTGGTTATGAGGGAGAACGTCCGTTGCGCGTGTCCGTCGAAAGTAGGTTACCCCGCCCACTTCGCGCGCGGCGCATCACACTGAGGTCTCGAGATGTCATTACAGTACCACCNGGTGTCATTGGAGTAATTGATTTGCATTTGTCTGTGTTAACTTCTTCTTGTACTGACTGCCGTGGAGCAAACGCAAAGCGTATGCCCCAGTAACAATTGCGACGTCTGTCAAATATCGCGGGCCTACTCGCCGCGTGCGACGGCTGCGGCGTGACCTGGTTTCGACGGACACGCGCAACGAAGCGCACCCGGTTATGAGTGTGAAACACCCTGACAACGATAGCCCCTAGACACTATGTTCATGAGCTTTTATTTATTTGCCAGTCATATCACCCGGTTGATGCTGAGCATTCCTCCTCTTCGTGAGAAGTTGGCCTTTATACATCTGACACTTTCCGTCGGTGCCTCTCCCGTCACTAGCGGAGTTCTGCTCAACTCATTTGTGTTCATTGTCTTGGTTTATTCCCCTCTTCTTTCGAGTAGACTGCAATTACGCTCACTTCACGCGCACTCCGCCCCTTCATCACCCTCAAATAGTATGTGTTACTCCTCAAACGCCAATTTCTAACTTTCACGCAAGCCCTCCCCCCTCCGTAAGCTTTCGTCTTCCTCTTCTTTTTCGGGTTCCAGTTCTGTCACCTACTGCCAGCGTTTTCATCCTGCCTCCTGTACTCCTACCAAATCTGAATTTGAACACCTTAAGTTCAGGGGAGCAGAAGTGAGAGGCACAGTTCACGATAATTTTGGCTAGTCCAAATTATGACGAAAAATGGAAAATAAGGGGAGAATAGTGCGATGAAAGCGGAGAAGTTGCGTAATCGGTGTTCCCAAAGTGAAAAAAGGCTTTGAGAAATCGTTAAAAAGGAGCTGGACGAGAATGAGTTCAGAAAAGTAAAGAAGAATGGGGCATGTGAACGAGTTATACACTGTGCGACATTGCGTACATGTGGGTCCTGGTGCGAAGAGCTGACCATAGTAAGCAAAAATTCATTCACTCATAAGCATAAATTAATAAAAAAAAACCCTAGTAACGGGAAAAATAGCCAACCTTTTTCAGCCTCTTGAGGTAGAGAATTAGAATGAGGACGCAGCAGCAAAAAGAATAACAGAGAATAAAAGAATGGGAGGAAAACACTGCCTCATCAACTGATTGTGTGTGTGGGTCCTGACGCGTATACGTGCAATCTCTATCGCCTCGACACTCGTCTGACGTGACATTGCTCGAGGGGCGGGAAGTCCGCGCAAGCCGGAAACGGGCACCCTCTATGCCCTAACCGTCGAGTTTTTGGGTGCAAGAGGGTCCTTTCTATTACCTTTGGGGGGTACTGGATGTTCCTGAGGGAAGAACTCAGTAACCATTTTGATCGTGGACTGTGCCTTTAAGGATTTCAGGTTAAATACGTACATACCTGCCCGCTCACACCGACAGACCAACAGACAGTGCGGAACTGAATGGTAAATTTGAAAAATAAAAAGGATTAGGAATTACAAAGAGATGCAAAGGAAAGCATAAAAAACAAAAGGAAATTATACGAAAAAATAGAAATGCAATTAGGTCTAAGGACTCAAGCTTGTCCTCCCCAGTCAAGAAAATGAAGGAAGTTTTGCACTCCCTGGCCTTTGTTCCAAAGCGCGTTCTAACAAATGCGATGGTAGTTCTGCTGCCAATTCAACGCGTAATGAAACAGATCGTCTAATTGTGAGACCCTAGGCAAGTAGGCTAAAGGCGATAACAAACAGGAAGGTCACCATCTTGCGGGTTCACTTTTGTGAAGTTTGGAATCTTGACTTGCTTTGCCATTCATGCATTTTGAGGTTCCATGAAGTTTCGTAAGGTTGTACTCAATTTTTTTATATTGACTGGCTTGAAAAAGAAAAACCCATGTGGATTCGTCTCTTTTGGAAATTTGGAAAGGAAAACTTCGCATGTCCTTCAGTCTGTTGCATTGTTGTAATACTTGTTTCAATATTCCATTTAATATTATTAGAAAGCTTTTGGTTCAGAGTTGACCATCGTAGTCGAGGTTAAAACTTTCAGTGAATTTTACTTTGTTGAAATCAGATTCTCCTCTAATGTTGGCACTGCTACGGTAGCACCCCGTAAGCCCGCAAATCTTATCGCGATATGTGTCATCTTTGAAAACATCTTGTGCTCTCGATTACACCGTCTATTTCCCTCACACGACAGTGCTTATACAGATCAGCTTGCAAGTATAATGTTGTTGCAATGCTTTCTGATCCTGCTTTTGCACAAGCATTCTTCTGCCAATGTCATGTAAATCTCGTTAAACAGGCGACGTGATGGAGGGTCCGAAGCATCCAAATTTCCTCATCAACGCATTGCCCTTCCTTTTGATCCTTAGCCTGTTGTGTTGCTAGTACAATGTTGAAACAGTGAACTCTAGACTTTCGCTGTATGTGCTAAACCATTTTTTGAACAGATTTTCTACTTTTTCACCTAAAATCGGCAAAATGATCTTCAATTCTTCTCTTTCATCCCTACCATTATTAGCTCTACAGGTTCTTCAATGTTTTTCTCAGGCCTCCCGTTTCTCTTTTACTTTCTCCACACTGATCATTTTGCCTAATTTGGTACACATATTGCATATACGAATCACAACCTCGGCACACTTCTGGTGATCACAAAGTGTAGAAGCGTAGCTTCAAACTAAGCCAACTGTTATTGTTATTCGATGTTATTTTTCCGCCAGTTTAGAATTTATAACTGGAACTTCAGTGGACGGTTTTAGGGAATGGCAAGCTTGAAGGTGAAACTGTAATTTTTTGTTGGTGGAGCCGATTGAAAATCAAAATCATTCTCGGGCTTTTAATTGTTTGTTTCCGAATATTCTCACTTCCTATACGTTCCATTTTGATCACCTCTTACCGTGCTACGATACAGCTATTTCAAAAATGCGTACCTTATTGCTGGAATTTCTTGAAATTGGGTCAGAATTATGAACAGTTTGTTTTTTCATAAGTGTTTGTTAAAAAGGAAGCAAGCCTAAATTGCCTGTTTGAGGAGCAAGTATAGATTGTGCATTTGCCCATTAATCCAATAATTTGAAACGTCTCAAGAGGTCAATCTCAAATGGTGTATAAATAATGTGATACCTTGAAAAAAGGACTCTCGCATTGGTTTGATCAACGTACCTGATTGCGAGAAAATGGTTCCTGGGAAGTAAATAACAAAGAAATAAAGTTGGATGAAGCAAAGAAAAAATTGTTTCAACTCCAAAAGGAGTTTCCCCTCTCATCTTTCTAATAGCAAGGTACGAGGTGGTGTAAAGAGAAAGTGTACTAGCTGAGAATCTTCATGAACAGAACATTGGAAACTCGAAGTGTGGACTCGATTTAACATCGGCATCATCAACAAACTACTAGACTGCTTTATCCACAATCCTGCGATCCTTTGAACCATCCACTTAGAATAAAATTTCTTGGCGGGCGGTAACACTAAAGCGAAACAGCTAGTTGAATATGAAGCTGTACCTTTACCGTGTGGTCATCAAAAGTGTGTCCAGTTCGTGATTGATCAAATGTATACCGAATTACATAGATTTGTTGAGTAATTGATCAGTAATCCACAACTTCGTTTCATTCTACGTAGTGGTCAAACACCAACCAATTTTGATCAGTGTCGATTTGTCTACTCAACATGAGATACTGTACTAAGTACTCATTCTTCCCGAGCCGGAGTGTAAGGTAGTAAAGACAGAAGTTCGTAGTGGCATTTCAACTTTAACACAACAGAATGAGAGCCGTCGTGAGCCGGTCAATCCGAATTGTAAGAGATAGATAGGGTTGATTGTTTTTCCACTGCTCCATTGACTTTGACAGCCTAAAATCATCGATGGGTTTGATTATATCTCAGGATGCAGATAAGGCGCATACTGAATAAAATGATATTTAGGAAGTGTCAAACACTGTCGAAAATCGTCGCCGCGATCTTATCGAAAGTGTACGGGTGCGACGTGACGAAAAACGCAAGGTTCTGAAAGATCAGATCGAAGCGATCACGGACGAGAAAAAGAAACTGGCGAAGGTATGTTTCCCTCAATGCCTTGACTTTCTACCTTCTCAAGAGTACGAAATAGAATTATTTGATCCTTTCTCGCTTTTTGAAGGTCTTCAAACATTCAAGCAATTTTATAGGAACTGGAGTCTTGTCAGTTGGATGTCCGATCCATGGCACGTCAGTTGAAATCCATGGACACAGGATGGGAACGCCAATTGACACAACCACGAGAGAATGCCTTTTTAAAGTTGAACACAAATTCTAGCCAGTTGATTTGTGGTAGGTCTTTTTTGTTTGCTCGTGAAAACTATAGTTCGCCTTCATTTTATGTATGGGATGACTATAAAGTGGTGTGGTGGGGGAGGGGGGTGATGGATGAGTAGCATGAGCTGCTATGGAAGAGTATGCGCTAAAGCTGCACTACAACGCAACATTCCGTTTACGGCCTAATCGTTGTTTCCGATTGCGTCAATCCTAATATTTGTGCTGGGCCCAGTGGACGAAACGTGTGCAGAAACACGTCTTCCTTTCGAGATCGCTGTGGTGTTCGAATGTGCAAGTGCAAATCAGCATTTATCAGCGATGGAGCTAGGGTTTAGATACAATATGTATAATCCACTCATGAAATTATTGTATATGCGGAAGATGCATGAGCTATAGAAAAACGACATCAGGCCTATAACAAACCCAGTGGTGCATTAAATCCCCATTTTACATCCTTCACGGTTCCTTTCTGTCATTGAACACAGTAGGTAGAAGGAGGCAACAGTTCCATGCGATCTTCCACTTTAAACGAGCCTTCCAGTCGCTATCGACCAGCAGTCTATGGTATCAGGAAATTTGCAGTTTTTCGGTTGAACACATTTCATGTTCCAACACAAAGCCGTTCTGCGTGATCTTCGGAAAGGGGTTGTTTTGTTGAAATCGAACAAGCGTTACCCTCTCCAGAATCAATTCGAATTGCTGTTCTGTGGGTAGACTTCCGTGGGTGGCAGGTATGTGAAGCTGATCTAATTTTTTCATGTATCGACTACCGGTAGTATCGATTCTTGTAAAAACAGCTTAGCAATACAGTGCGTTTCATAATTATAAGGTCACCCTCAGATTTTGCACTTTCAAAAAAAGCAATCATTGAAGATTTTTTCTAGCATCATGAGCGGATTCCTCAGCACGAATAACCCAGGTATTCGATTTTTAGCCGCAGCTGCATTTTTCTGAACTTTTAAGAACAGTTTATCGGTTTTTGCACCGTTTCATAATTATCAGGTCACCCTGAGAAAGTGAACAATTATTCATGGAAGAGAGGAGATTTCGCGTCTAAAGATACTTATAAAGGTAAGCATGTGTAGCAAAGGCATTTCTAAACCTGACTGTCAACATGGCTCGTAGTCATCTGCTTTCCTGTGATGAGAAGGCTCATCATGAAGGTGGGCTCAGTACTCGAGCCATCTCCAGGCAAATAGGGAGATCCCCTTGGTTCATTCAGGAGAGCCCTGATGTCCCTAGATATAACACCGACTGTGGATACCCATGAAACATTACTGCCCGTGACCAGCGGAAGATTCTGAGGACTGTTTCCAACAGTACGTCCTCCATATACCAGATCCGATCGGAATTAAACCTCTCTGTGTCGAAAACTACAGTCTGGAGAGCAGTGAGAAGATGCGAGAACATCACCAGGCAAGCAATGGAGAAGGTGCCACGAATCACCGATCGCCACAGAGAGGCTCGACTCGGATTTGCAAAGATGAACCTAGGGAGAGATTGGGCAAAGGTAGATCTGCATCAAAATCTTACCATAGCGCTGAATCGTTCCTATTCAGGTCGCCTTTTCGGATGAAAAGAAATTCAATGTAGACGGTCCTAACGGAAACAAGCGGTACTGACGCGAATTGAGGAAGGAACCAGTCACCTCAGCCGTCGCAATTTCGGTGGAGGAAGTCTATGGTGTGGGGTGCATTCTGCAATGATGTCGTGTTGGATATACCTGTGGTGAGCTGCAGTATGGATTTCAAAGATTACCAAAAACGTCTTGGAGCATCATCTAGTACCCTTTCTATGCCATCGCCTTCATCTCAACTACGTCTTTCAACAGGACAACGCCTCCATTCATGTGAGCCGTGCAACGGATGAGTGGCTGCAATGCCAATAAATAAGCTTCCTGCCATGGCCAGCCTGCAGTCCCGATCTCAATCCGATGGAAAATATCTGGGGCATAATAGTCAGGCAGGTTTATGCGAATAACCGTCAGTTCCAGGGCGCAGAAGAGCTGAAGCGGGCAGTTATCGAAGCATGGAGAGCAATCGGTGAGGAACATCTTCGAAATCTAGTTTCTAGTATGCCACGCAGACTCTTTAATGTTGCTCTTAAACAAGGAGGAGCTATAGATTATTAAGCATTGTACATATGCCATCAACGTTACTAAAACATTTATTTTCTCAGGGTGACCTTATAATTATGAAACGGTGCAAAAGCCGACACAATCTTTAAAAAATTCATAAAAAATTTAAGGTGAAGGATATTACGACCAAAATTTAAATACGGAGGTACATTGTGATGAGGAATCTTTCTGTGTTTGCCAAAAAAATTCCATTCCGGATGCTTTCTCCAGAGTCGCTAAAATCGAGGGTGACCTTATAATTATGAAACGCACTGTATGACCTGAAAAGTATGACTGCTTTCATAGTCCGCCGGCGCGCCGGCGTGCTACGAGGCAGTGCTAGGGGGGAGGAGGGAGGCAGACGGTCGGTCGAAGGGCTGAAAACAAAGAAGAACAAGATCAAAAACCAAACAACCAGGGGCTTGTACAAATGGTTTTTGATCTTGTCTCTCCTTGTTTACAGCCCTTCGAGGGGCTGACCGACCTTCTGCCGCCCTCCTCCCCCCTAGCACTGCCTCATGGCACGGGCCGGCCGGCGGACTATGAAAGCAGCCTATGTAGGCCCTTATGGAAAGTTATCTAGGCTCTTATGGTTGTGTCAGTAAGTGTCCATTGGCGTACTGTGATTTTGTAAGAAAATTTCTATTTTCATGTTCCCCTGTGGACGCGAAATGAATCCGTTTCAAGATTCCCCATGCACAAATAAGGGTGATCCAAAAGAAACCTCAACGTTATATGACAGCATATTTTAACAATTGCACCCGCTCAAAAACGTTTCACACCCGTTCTGACCATGAATGTGAAAATCGGTTGCTTCGATCGGTGTTTAAGAGATTTTCACGTACTTCACTCTGAGCACGAACCCTCGTCTGTCGATGTATTTTAATAAGCGTACCTATTGAAAAATGGACCTTCCCCTGATGGGTTACTGTCCTCAACCACATCCAAATTCACAAGATGCAGCTGAGCCTTAAGGTGGTGCCGTATTCAACGACAAAGCAACGGCAGGCCAACACACTCAGTTTCTGGATTAGCTCCATAAACAAGTTGTTTTTAGGAAAGATATGTGAAAGGATTCATGGTCTATGCTTTGCCAGTTTTTGCCAATTTTGGCGCTGTCTGGCTCATCATCTATAGTATGTCGATTTTCAATCACGTCATGGGAAAGAAAGCACGGATCACATGTAAAATGAGCCGAGTTTCGGCTACGGGGGGCGGCGTTAGAAAAATCTTTATTTAACCCTAACCCTAACAAGGAGGCGGAAGAACGATTCAATGTAAGCACCGTGTTTGTGGATAAAACAAAATCCTCTTGTTATTGGCAAAGTGCGCATCATACCAGCCGCCTGTGCGTCTACATCTACAGTATCACAATAACCATGCTTTCATCCATTCTCAAGTCCGCGAGTGGAAATTCTTTGATTGCTTTTGCTGTGTTGACTTCAAGTACATGTTACATAATGTGAGCGTAGTAAGCCTCTCGAAGCTATTTGCGCAAGTTAGGAAAATTCACTGCTACTTCAGGATTAAGCTAGAAACTGTACTCTAATGGGCGGACACAAATTTTTCACGATAAGAGTCGATATTGAGGCAGTGAAGCAGAAACCAGGTATTCTCTGTTTCTTTGCTGTTTCGAGACACCTCAGAAACAGAAATGAGTTAAATTATTGCCACTCTATAGATCTTTATGGGTGTTCCTTCACGGATGCTACATACATACGTGTATATCTTGGTGGTAGAAGGTCCTAGTGATCATGAAAAAAAAAAACCGAAACTTTGCACACCATGCTGAGCAGGGAGACTACGTGATCGTAACTTTTTCGGAATTGGAGCTTACAAGGGTGTGAGCGAAAGAAGATCTATATTTCTGCGGGTGCGAGTTTTTAGATTATTATCATCCTGAAAGGTTTCTTTATGTATTCTGTATGCTTCAAACATATTGAGATCGATATATGCATATATACATATATCTATACAGCTTCTTGAAAATCGCTGAATCGCCTTCGCCTGCTGTATTTTAGGTCGCTGTTTTTCTTCGACATCAATGTTGATTTCTTTCGATATCGATGTTGATCTGTTTACTTTCAGACGTTCAGCGGTGCCTTGTGGATTTTGGCTCATTAACAGCTTCAACAACCTTCCCCGGTGAAACAGTGGTTGAACTTCTAGATTCAGCGTCAACCTTCACTGAAGTGAAATTGATCGTCAGGTTAGTCGTATAACTCAGCACTCTAGAAAATATGAAAAGGATATCGTATACCTTACTAGTTAGCTTTCGCATGATAACGTGTTCAATCCCAATCACCAACTTTGATCTGTAATCCCTAATCAGCTCATTAGTTTTGACTTCACTGCTCTTATATCGCTGTAGCAGGCGCTCCAGAAATCTCCCTAGGTTGGCAGTATGAAAAAATGTCCTCGGATGGGACTCGAACATGTTCTTGTGCTATCCGCAGCTTGTTCTTTATCTTTTACACTACCGCTGTTCTTGGCTGACCGGCTCATTACGTTGTATCGACCATTTAAAAACCCTCTGCCTTCCTCAAATGGTTGACACGATCAAGGCTTCTCTTGACATTTGCAGGTTTTCCCCACCACAGGAAGCCATAACCCTGATTTTCGAGCTTGTTGCCGCTCATCTTAATAAATTCCTGCCCATCATGACCTCCTATTAATAGAAAAGTTCTGCTATCGGGGGCACTTTTCCGAGACATGGTCAGAACAAGTGCGACCATTGCCCATCACTAGAATGCTCTTTTGACAATGTGTGGGTATTTGAACACTCCGCATCATCCATGGAACCTTTGTACGTCTGTCTGCCGTTCTTTCACGAAGAAGTACTTGAACAGTGTGTCATGTTTGGGGTGGGTGGGGCACAGGGCAAGGTCTATCTGTGTGTCTACGAATCTACTTGCAATTTCGCATCACCTGGATAAGCATCTGAAGAGGTCGCGTCAGGTCTGGGATGGGTGGAGTAGAGGGCAAGATCTCGAGACAGAGTAGAGAGCACATGTAAACTCAACTCGGCTCCGCAGACGAAAGGCGGGACATGCACTGGTCTGATGGTGTTAAAAAACAAAACTTTCTAAGTTATTTCCGTTACAGCTCAGATACCGAAAAAAATAAGCTAAGATGAGAAATTCAGGAAATAAAAGGGCTCATTCGCTGTTTGCCAAGTGTACCCATAGTACGTTTATTCTCTACATAAATCCTTATTTTGTTTCCACAAAATTCCACAAAAGGCTGGAGCTCAGAAAAGAGAATTTGGGATTAAGCAAGGTCGTAGGTGTGGCATGCATGTGTATACTTGTGGAGCTGCGCTTACGATTGGCGAGCATGCTCTGAGAAAGGAGGCGCTTTCTAGGAAATCTCGTCTTTCTTCAGAACGTTCTAGAAAACGAAAAAAATTGGTTGGAGGTTACAGATTTAGGGTTGGTTGAATCTTCATAATGGCTAGGGAATGCGTAGAAGTGGACAGAGCTTCATGATGTTTTAAAACTATGCTGCAATGTTTCATAAATCTTATGAAACGTTGCAGCATGGTACTATAACATCATAGCTTCAAAATCTTATAAAATAAAAATCTCATCAAATTTTAATAAGTCTTACAAAATTTATGCTGCGATTTTTTCACTGGTAAGTCGCACTGTCCGGTTGAAAGACATCCGCACTCGTGTGGGCGTTTTTCCTTGTACCGAAAATACCGTTGTTACAAATATCAAATAACAAATACCTTTGTTCATTATACCAACGGACTACACTCATATTATTTTCGCTTTTTGTAAGCATACGACCTTCCCTGCTTGCCCCTAGCTTGCTTTGCGCTTGTGGCCCGTTCTAACCACTGCAGAAGTATTATCAGGCGTCTAGATTTGGCAGTCTTGCCTACCACTCATCTTCATTTTTCCCCAGTTTGTAGTGTCTCAAAATTAGTGTTGAGTTTCCGTAGATCGCAGGCCCAATTCGATGTTCCTACTATCCATTCATGGATTTCTTCTGTTCCTGGACTTACTGTGACTGCATAACTATTATACAACCATGAAATAGACATCGATGTCCTCATATGGTAGTGTATGGGTTGAACACGAATCAAAAGCTGGTACTGGATCAAATTCATTGTGCGTTTCAGGGGTGTAAATTCTGATATCGAAGAACTCGCCACTATATTAGACGTCTTATGACACCCCTTCCAAAACTTTTCCAGGACTTTCGATGTGGATTGTCGACCAAGAACTTCTGGCGGAGATCCGTTAGACGTTCGGCTTCAGTTCGAGGATGATTTTCTCCCGATTTCGGTCAATGATCTCAACGATGGCACATACGAATTGTCTTTCAGGCGAGGAATAGTTATGCAATTACTTCGAGAATATTCATAAACTACCTTTGCTTATTTCGGCTATCGTAGGGTGTAGTTATCTTCAATGCAATTATGTGCCATCATTACTATTTTTTATATTAATTTATCGTTTAGGGTTCAACAGTCTGGCGACTATGTTGTTGACGTGGATATTTTCGGTCGTCCAATAAAAAACAGCCCATTCCCTGTATCGGTTTCATCTCATCACATGCCCAAGTGAGTCAAGTCTGAAGAATCCCCATCATTTTTTTTCTGTGCATCTCACTGTTGAACCAGTTCTTGGTACCACCCCTGGTTTGAAAAAAAAANAAAAAAAAACTAAAGCAATACTATCTGTAGATGGCAGTTACCAGTCGAGCTCCATCAACCTGTTAAAGTAGCAATCAATGGCGATCATGTACTCCATGTTCTCGACACTGGTAACGAACGAGGTCGGTTAGATTCACATCTTTTGGCCTACACCCTATTAATCCTGTGCATGTCCTTACTTCTTTAGATTCTTCTCTAAGTACTAATTAATTTTGTAGTAGAGAAACGCGTAAGATTAGCACTTTATGCACAATTAAGAATGTTGTGAGGATCTCCCATATTGAGTAAGTTCGCCCACTATGCGTCTCATCCTTCTCATTCCCATACATTGCTCATTTGACCCTGCCTCGCTGCTCATTAACCTTAACCATTTTTGCGTTCTTTCAGTTGCTGGAATGCGGATTTTGTCCTGAGTGCATACATATTTGTGCCATTTCAATTTGCCCTGTTGCTTTAGGGCAATCCAGGGTAGTGCTGAGTAAGTAGTAGGCAAAGAGACAAGCATGAAGTCGCACCATATTCTTGGTTTCTATGCAGCAAGTATTAGTATATTGAGCTATTATGGAACTTAAGTACGAAGTTTTGCATTCGGCGTCACTCTACAGTTTCGCTCAGGAAATCCACTTAGCTCAGGTAAACGCCACTCAGTTGAGCCTCACCCATCACAAGTATAGCTATGCTCCTCACGCACTTCTTCGGTTACCGCTGGATTTCATGGCAGTCACGTACGCTTGAAAACATAGCACTTCACACATACATAGTAAGATATTCGTCGAGCTCCGCCTTTTGGAGAAACTTCGCTCTTTCCGTGTCTACTTGTTGTCATGCTCGTGTACTGCTCATCTTTACCCTATTCCCTCCGCACTTTCCGCAGAGTACTTACTCTATTTGCTTTGTGTAAAGGACACCACACTGCTCGCACATTCGCTTATGTTAAATTTCTTTTACATCCTATTAGTACTATCACCCTCAAGTCTTGGACTTACTCCAACTCATTTTGTTCTATGGGAGGAAAACGAAAGGACAATATTGTGTAGCTTACTAGTTCGAGTTTTCTCTGAGCGGCTTACATAAAATTGTAGCAGTCAAGTACCATATGTGTTGTAATTTTCCAGTGAGAATTGTGAAAGACAGCGGTGAAGTAGTTAATGACATCAAAGCGCCCTGCCTTAGCGGGGGAACGGCTGTTGGCATGGCACTTCTGAGTGGAGGCGACATGGCTATTCTCAACTGGAGGACAAAGAGCATCACGCGCCTTGGACCAAAAGGAGACGAGATACAGGTATGGGCACATTTTCTTTTTCTTCTCTTGGTTTTCTTTTACTTATGTAATGAAAATTTCTCAGTTCGAAAGCTTTGAGTTTTCAATGGATAATTTATAGAGCATCAATTTCTCGGAGTTCAATGAGCCGATCGATCTTGCTGCTGATCATCGTGGGAGGTATCTTATTGCTGATGCGCAAAAAGTGAGTTTTCTTTACTCCTGTGGGTTTTTGGAATTTGTAGGTAGGCTGCCTTTTATATTTTGAGATTTGGGAACAGAAACAAATATCATTCATTGAAAATCCCTTTACTGCCTTTCAAAATTCTCCACATTGAGATGTATACACTTTTGCATGGGCTCGAAACAATTTTCGAAGCACTTTTGCCACTCTGATGTAGGTGACTCTAAAACATGGATTCTGTACGCATTAACGGCTTCTTCAGAATCGAGAAACGTTGACCTCTCATTTTATTTTTTACGTACGGGATGAGTACAAGCCACCCTTGGACCTCATGGCTGGAGTCTCATGAAATCATTGTTTTGAGTGCACAAAAATGAAGTTGTTTGAGCCGATGTGTGGGAGCTCGCATTGTCGTAGAGAAGAGTGATCCGTCTTCAACAGTTGGTTTTCCTGATTTTTTGGAAGTCAACTGGCAAACAAATGATGGTATACCACTCAGAATTGACTGTTCTGCTTATTCTAGTGGTACGGTTGCGACATGTCCAGTTTTTCCAAAAAAACAGGAGACCAATTGCTCGGAAGTGTTTGGTGCGCGGACCGCTTTTGTTGGATTTGGCTCATCTTGAAATACCCATAAGGTCGACTGCTGTTTCCTTCCGGGCTCATACGAATTAATCCATGATCCATCATCTGTTTCGATGCCATAGACGTGTTTCGAAGCACCGCGATCGTATTTTTTTTTTTTNGTATGGCACCTGTATTTATTACCCACACACCAAAAAGTTCTTGAGCAAATTGGAAAAAGTGCAGAATGGCTTTTCTAGGAAACTATTCATCAGAACCTTAGGTTTTAATTATTCCAGCATACCTCGTGGCCTCATTAGGAACAAGTTACTCAATTTGGATCCATTATCCTTAAGGCTGAGGAGGAACGATATTCTTATGGTATATAAAATTCTTCATAAACGTGTTGATCTCGGTAGTGACGCCTTCTATAAACTAATGCCATCTACTACGAAAGGGGAAAAGCTCAAGCTTTCTTTCCGAAAACCACGTTCAACATTAGGGCGCAGGTTCTTCACGATTCGCGCGGGCACAGAGTTCTTGAAAATGAGCAAGACTGTGCAAATTTCTTCTAAATTTGCTAGCTTTAGGAGAGCGGTATTTCATTATCTCCATCGCGCCAATAAATAGGGCATAGTTTCCGTTATGTAGATCGTCATGTTCTGTCTAACGTTCATTGTTATTTGTGTTTTGGTTTGTTGTTAACTGCTGTTTTATTTCTACATGCTGCACATGTGTTTGGCATGTAATAAATGGAATGGAAATGCTTCATCACCAAAAATTGAACTAAGCTCATCCATGCATTGCTGTTGAGTTAGCCACGTCGAAAGTTGTAGAAACTAACCGCGCGAAAATGCTCACGAGTCAATCCCATAACTTGGCCTAAATAAAATCTTATAACTTAGTGTAAACAATACAAATCGTGCTCAAATTCCGCAACATATCCTCAAAATAGTCATACTTTACGATAGTGATGTCAGTTGCTAGATTGCTACTCTGGTGTTGCCAAATCTCAAAATATAAAAGGCAACCCTCGTATACAGTAAAGTGTTTATTCAGAAGGTGTGTTTATGCTTGACACAGTCACTTGTAATTCAGCTTTTGTTGTTTTGTTGACTGAACTTTCTTTCTTCATTCTCTTGATCCTTGTCTATGTTTACACCTGGCCAAAAAATTGTTACGCGTCAAAAATTGAGTTCACTCTAGATTTCTTGTGATTTGTTTTTTTTTTTCTGGTGTTCATTTGCAGGAGCGATCGTGCATTTGCAGGTTTTTGTATTCGACTCAAATTTACGTCCGCAGTTCAGTTTCCCCACTCGTGGGCAGACTGTCACATCTGTAAACGTTGGGTTGGATGATGACATTCTAGTTGGAACAACCCATGGACTGCTTCTATTTGACGGAGCTGGAAGGTTTTTGAGAGAGATTCCTATTGCACCTGAGGATCATAAGTGAGTTTTCACAACGTGGACCAAGTGAGCGTAGAGGTTAATAACGGTGGAAAGCAGAGTGATGATATTAGTTTGAATTGACAGGCTCTTCTTGTGTTGAGAAGAAAAATCAAATTAGACGGATGTAATTTTCAGAATCGCGCATCATTTGTGGTTATCCATTGGTTGTTGTCTTTCGAAACTTTGGACGTAATCAGTGCGAACCTAACCGTAACTTGACGGATGTCATAGTACAACCCTCGCGTAATGAATCATGGTTGCCGCGTGGACACCTGGTTTTACCTCCATGCTAAAAGTATCAATTCCTGGCTGAGTTGTAGTAAAAGTTAAGCTACAAGAGGCTCCCTATAACGAGAAACGTCACTAACAAGAATTTTGATTCTCTCAAATGTAACACCATTGTGCGCTTTACTAAATTTTGTCTTAAGTTACAGAGGGCGTGTTATGGTGTCGACATGTGCAGTTTGTCCTGAAAGTGGCCTTGTTATTGCTGGAGTTGTGGATGCGAAGACGAACAGAGCACAGTTGGCGGTGAGGTTCCTACAATTTATTCTTTTTTGTACTAGAGTAGACAAAATGGCACAATAGCATATGACATGGCTTTGGGAGACTTAGACCTTTACTTCTCCACACTTCTGTCTACTTTGCTACTCATTTTTATTGCGAAGCTAAAATGCGCGTTCGATCTGGAGTGTTCTAAAACTAAAGGTGACTACTTAAATGCGTTTAATTTACAGATCTCTCGCTACAAAGGAGCGTTCGTCTTCTACATTGATTCCTATGGTGCTCGTCTACGACGCCCTTGCGGTGTGTGCGTTGGCACGGGTCCGCGAGCCGGACAATGCCTTATAGTCGACCATGCGTCTAATTCAGTCCGAATGTATAGGTTTAAATAATGTCTGTCTTTCTTCGAGCTCATAATCATGATGTTGCTGAATCTGAACAAAACTTTGCCTTTGAGGAGTATGACAATCATATAAGCATAATATGTTAATTTGGCAGTTCTTCAACTGTTCCCATTGCTTTTCGGCCCAATATTGACTCAGCAATTCAGTTCCAAATGTGAAAGCTGTCAGCTGTCAATCTAGATGCTAACTCTGCTCATTTAGGCGAAGGTAGGAAAATGGAAAGTAGTGATGTCAGCAAGCTCTTTCTTTACAACATCAGAGGCCTGCATTAACTTGACCTGAAATGTAAGGTTATGATCAGCGGTGTGTGTAAGGCTAATTTTTAGGGAAGCGCGGTAGGCCCAACTGCTCCGAGATTGTGTTACTTTCCGGGACATCTCTATTTTTGATTCACTACTCTATTGGTTTTTCTAGCATAATCCTTTTTTTCCTTGATAGAGCCACAACGCCATGGAGGAGTGCCTCCTTCCAATATTTGTGCACATAGCGTTTTCAGCATGACTCGCTAATAGCTGTTCTGTCGATCACGCTGATAGAGTGAGGGAAGCAACTCAATGGGTCTGTTTTGGGGAGTAAAACTCATTTGACCACTTAACTGGTTTGCGATTTATGCCTTCTCGGTACAGAGTAGATCAATGTATGCTAGGCTGATGCTGTTTTTTCATTTTTAGGTTCTTAAGCTCAACATGGTTGACTGATTTGCCTTCATTCTATTCTCTGGCTTGTTATGCAAATCGTAAGATCTTTGGCGCATTATATTGTAGTTCAGCGGGTTGACGTCCTTCTTTTTGAGCAGAATTGCTGGCTCAAAATAATCCTTCCTATATGTACATTCACTATCGAGCCATACGTGTGTCTGCCTGAGCACCAGTGACTTCGTATTATTGATGTGTAGCATAGTTCTTTAATAGATACTTAATAAACTGTATAGCTATCTCTGTTCGCTATTCATGGTACACGAATGAAAGGAAAGGTTTTTCAAAATTTTTCTTCTTCGTTTTGAGGAACCACCTCTTCTTCGTTCATACATCTTTGGTTAACTAAGTTGTCAGAAAGCTAAGCAAGTTGTCAGAACGGCAGTACTAGCTTCCAGAGCTTCTAGGGTCACATCAAGGTTCTGGTTTGGAACTATTGACTATCAATGAAACACGTGTTCTTTTGATCATTGGCCTGACCGTAATGCAAGCGAAGATTAATGGGAGACGTAGGTCGCACGCATTTCTGACAAAAAGCAAAGCTGAGAAAGAATTCGTTCCAAGGTTGAAATTGACGGTATACTACAAATTCGTAAGAAATGTATGAAGAAAAGTTGGTAAACCGCACATTTTTCGAAAAGTGCTTTTGTGGTTTCGTAGTTCCTAGGGCTACAATGAATTTCAGGACTTACGAAAATAGACTTTTATTTTTGAAACGATGTTAGTTAGTTTTCAGAAATGGACACAGTGGTACTTTATATGAAAAAAAAATCAGCATGAGCAAATGCTCGTTAGGGCATCTGGAATGAGTACAATAGATGATAATATACAGAATAACATGGGCTTCAAATTCTCTTATCGCGTGGTATTTCAGAGAACTAAGAGAGGTGAAAAAGATGGAGGCTCCAATGAACTATCATTTACTAACCAGTAAGCAATCAAGCTTTTGCTAGAGAAGGGTGTAGAAAGTAACCTCCACTTCGATTCAAAGAACAGGATGTTCTGAAGTGAGCAGAACGCTCCATCCCGGGAAAGCACCAAAGAAGTAAAGTTGAGTGGTTAAGTCGATGATGGTAACGTGGATCCCAGCAGTATCTGTCTGTGTTAACGCGGCATGAATGGAATTTTTATATTTTCATTCATTACTAACACTGCACAATATGCCATCGAAGCGATAATTCGTTCTTCATCAGCATCAAGCATTAAGAACTCATGAAGCAAGTGCATGTATTTTGCTGCAGGAGATACGATAGCTTGTTTGCGAGCAGATGCTCGCATCTGAGGGGAATAGAGAGGCAAAGACTGCAAGTACCGATAACAGGATGAGGAGAGCCTCATGTGTGTTTTAACAACTAACCACTTCATTGGTTATGATGCCTTCGTTGCAATTAAAGTCTCAGGATCACATATATCAGACTTCGAATCACAGGCATACTAACCTCTTGAGAGAAAGATTGCAAGTTAGCCGAATCTGAAGGCCGTTAAAGTAGAACGTAAGCTCAAACACGATAAAGCATGAATATCGTTACAAAAAAGGAAATAAATGAAATAAAAACGAAAGTTGGATGGTCCCTTAGCGTGGTCGAATCCCTTAGCAGCTGGAAGGTTGTAACCTTTCTCAAATCAGAAAAATAACTAGGTTTCACTTACCGTGATGGTAACTGTTGAGATGTTGTGTAGTAGAATATCCTTTGTGTTCTTGATCATATGTCAAAATCAATAACATGAATGAAATAACACCTGTAAAAGATATTTTACGCACAATGCTGTGAGTTATGAGAAAAAAGCCAAACCCGTGAGGCACGCAGTAGCTGGCAAGTTCGGGACCAGGTGTTTCCGTATCACTATTCGAACCATAATTCTCTTTTCAGGTGATGGAACGTTTATAGTTAGAGGGATCTGTGCCAAAGTGACGCAATAATGGCTTAGAACTTTTCTGGCCATGCACAACATGTGACAGGAAAATACTCTTCTATCGTCTTTTGGGTCCTACTTTTATTTCGATGTGTTCGTCATCGCCCTGTGACAGATTCCATCCGTTGCTGTTATGCCCCTTCTCCTCAGTGGGATTACTCTCTATAAACGAATCGTATCATGGAACTTGTTCAGGTGTTATTGATGTTGTGAGGGAAAACGATAGTGAGTCAATACTGTTCCTGTTGTGGTTGGGCGGATGTAGATACAAGTAATCCTCGAAGGCTGGATCATTATTCCGTTTCATGTATGACTACCTTTTCACCATCCATAGACCTCTCTTACAAAATATGATGAATAAAAATGATGTATTATGAAGAACAAGAGGGTAATTGCAACTGCAACTTATTGTCGGATGTCTAATAAGTTTTCATTTCTACAAAAGATTATGACTTCTCTGGCGACTTCTACAGGAATCGCAATATAGTAGGCTTAGGTTTCATAGGCTCAGCTAACGCAAACTCACTGCTGATTGATCATCATAATTGCTTGTATCATCATAATTTTGTTTTTTTTTAAGTCCTAAAACAACTTGCTAATCCGGCGCAGTTTGCTCGACGAGTTTGGTGTGGGCCATAAAGCAACCGAGTCAGTCCAAGATATTTACAAAGCTTTTGACCAAAGTTTCATAGGCTCAGCTAACGCAACGTTACATTTGAGAAATTCAACAAGTAGGGAATCAGAATGGAACAAGCGCGAAGCAACAAAATAAGGTTTTCTTTCGTTTCTCGTCGTTTTGATTGGATTTCTGATATTGTGATGATGAAAGGTAAGTAGGTATATTTCACAAATCTGATCAGTGTTTAGTATTCCATTAGTAGCTTAGCATGTGTATGTTGGTGCCATTTCCTCCGATCCTCAAAGGCTCCGTTCACGATAAAAAGGTTACCGAGTTGTTTCTTTAGGAGTACTCAGCGCTTCCATGGGTGGTAGAAGGGACCCTCTCGCTCCCACAATCTCGGCGTTTAGGGCATAGTGGAAGCTCCGTTGTTGCCGTAGTTCGCTTTCCCGCCCCTCGATCGGTGTCACGTTAGACGAGTGTCGAGACAAAACAGATTGCTAGTATTCGTTCTAGGACCCACACACAATCAGCTAATCGCCAAGTGATGAGGCGATGTTTTTCTCCCATTCTTCTTTCCTCTGTTTTTCTTTTTGCTGCCGCGATCCCTTATTTAATTTCCTACTCCTTGAGGCTGGAAAAGGTGAGCAACTTTTGCTGTTACTAGGGTTTTTTTGTTTATTTATGCTTATAAGTGAATGAATTTTTGCTTACCATTGTCTGTTATTCGCACCAGGACCCACACGCGCGCAGTGAAACACACTGTCTAGCTCGTCCGGACGCCCCACTCTTCTTCATTTTTCTGGTTTCATTCTCGTCTAGCCCCCTTTTTAACGGCTTTTCGAAGCCTTTTTTTTCACTTTAGAAACACCGATGCAGGGATCTTTTAGGATGGGAGGAAAGGTGTAAAAGATATTGGAATTCTTTGTCAAGCTGTTATTTCGTATGCACGGAGAATGTAAAGGGTTTCACGAGATGCAGTCAGCACCGGCTACGGTAAGTTAAACGCATAAAATGTTTTTGACCTTTGAGATAATATGAAACTATAAAGCTGACGTCCTAAGCAAAATTTCAGCACAGCTTTTGCTCTGCTGACACTTCCGCTTTTATGGAAGGTGTTGATGGGGTGGAATAAGAATAAGGGGGCTGTACCACATGCTCGCGTTCCTGAACTGTTGTCCGCCTGCAGCAATCAAACCATCCTCCACTCTGGGGACGGTACAAACTCGAATGGATATAATAAAGGATAATTTTTTTGGCACTGATCAGTCCTGTTTTGGCAAGCTCCCTTCTTCCAAATCCCAGTTAGAACCGTAGTGGCGTACTGAATGCGTAAATCTTCTATACAATGCCGTGAGGTGGCCAGTCGATGTAACAGTCAGTGTTTTTATTTTTTCAGACGAAGATGGCATCAGATAATCCGGAGGGATGGAAGGCGCGGTTAGCCTGAGCGGGTATCGATCCAAAATGCGATCCCCTGACTGTTCGTGTGCGATAGTGCGTCATTTGCGACCACACTACCTGGATGTGTGTCGATTTGTGCGATTCTGGGTGCGCGCGGCAAAGTTCATAGCTATTCTGACGATTTCAGCGCATATTATTGGGGCCCAATTTTGATGTAGAGTAGATTAGTAGGATCAGCTGGCCATATTAATCTATTCTACTTTAGGCTTGCGCCTCAATGATAGACGCTGCAGTCCTCCAAATCGCACCGAATTTCTCCGCGCAATTTGCCGCGCGCACCCAGAATCGCACGAATC